GTCACAAGAGAGATGAGAGTTGATAACTGAATGCACTCATTATTATTTTCTGACAACATGTTTCCGATTTATCTTATTAGTTTACCATCTTCTGTTGAACTTCTGTCTAGGTAATTCACTTGCGCTTGCTTCGGTTGGGATCTGTTGATACTGATCTCCAGTACTTACAGTTTCCTGTAGATACTCAGTATCCCAGTTTTGCTGACGATAATTTTAATATAAATACAATATAACACAGATAGCTCGAATTCGTCGGGACCGGCCACGATAGTTGGAGGGATCCGTTTACTTTAGTTTTAGTACTTTCAGTAAGTGTTTTAGGGCACTTGCAACACAATAAGGTTATATAAGTGCCGAAGATTAGAGCTGTTACAAGAGAGTAACAAACACAAAATAGCAGCGGAGATAAGGACGATAGATGTTTGATAGGAAAGAAGAAACAGACTACACCAGGGCACCCACCAACCACCCACAAGGGATCCGTAGTTCGAGAGATATCTTACACAGATAAAGAGAAAAAAAATAACGGGACTGCTGGCACAGTTCGACAGATGCGTGGATTCGAGTTTTCTGTGTTCGACCTATTCGTGCTTTAAACTGTATATGTGAGGCAGCGTGGTGGAATCAGGCTCTCGTCAAAATAATCAAAGTGAAGAAACTTGCATTTTTCCGCAAGTTTGTGAATTTTTAATCAAATTTTTGTTTTTTGGCTCAACACATTTCATGGGCATTAAAGAACTCATTTCTATGAGGATTATTCTGAAAAACATTGATTAAAGGCACAAAAAATGTACTTTTTCAGTTACCTCGGACTCTTAAGCGAAGGAAATAACTAATCTTTGGTGGCCATTTTCTCACTAATTTTACCTCTGAAAACAGGTGACCCCAACCCCCTTTTTTTCGCCAATATCTCGACTTGTATTCATCATGATAAATTAATATTTTAAAATTCAAAATAAAGACAAGTGAACAAGCTTTCAGATGATACCAATAACTCTACATGCCCGAAAATTGACGAGAGCCTGATTCCACCACGCTGCCTCACATATGGTATCTCACACAGCAGGCGTTGAGCTGTCTATATGTAGCCAAATCGTATCCCTACCATCACGTGATTGTACACGATTAATACTGTCTTAGGCCTTTTGAAAAAAAAATATAGGCCCATAAATAGACAGGTGAGAGAAAGGAACCTTTTTCAAAAGCATGCGTTTCCTGAGTAGGAAGAAAAAAGAAATCCCCACTGTCTGATTCTGATACCTGTATCTCCAGAACTTTTTTTCCGTAAAAAGAGAGCTAACGACAAAATGTGAGGCAGCGTGGTGGAATCAGGCTGTCGTCAAAATAATGAAATCGAAAAAAGCAGCAGTTTTCTCCACATTAGCAATTTTTATCAAATTTTTGTTTTTTTGGCTCAACACCTTTTATGTCCATTTACAAACACATTACTTTGAGGATTTCACCGAAAAACGTTGATTAAAGGCACAAAAATATACATTTACAGTTTCCATGGACTCTCCAGCTTTGGAATTTACCAAGCTTTGGCGGCCATAGGTGACCCCCACCTCCTGCAATCCAAAATATCTCCATTTCTATTGAAGATGGATGGATAATTTTTTCATTGAAAGCAAGATATATGACAAGCTTTAAGATAATACCAATAACTCAATATGCCCAAAAATTGACGAGAGCCTGATTCCACCACGCTGCCTCACAAATTTCCTCAGCATTTTACAAGTTAAAAAATATGATATGTAAGTTATTACTATACAAATTATTATTACAGCCGAATCTGCTTGTATTGAATTCGATGAAGTTGATCTTTTTCTCGGGTCCCAGCACGTCTTCTTCTTTTTTACAGATCCCAAAGATCGGGTTGAACTTCGGACATTTTTATCTATTTTTTAACTACCCCAACATCAACTCACCCGTCGTATACTATATCAATAATATCATTATTTTTATTATTATCATGATTCTTCTTCTTATTGTTATTATTACATAACTCAAGAAGACTAAAACACTAGCCTAAAAAAGAACCCTTTTTACTGTAGACATTTGAATTGTTTTAGTGCATTTCAGAGCCAAATTAGTTTTTTTCTGACAAAAGTTCGTACTCTGGTTTCTATAATTTTGTTTTCAATAAAAAATTAAAATGCAAAGCAGGCAGTAATTTGACGAAGAGGCGTTCTCGTCTCTTTCTGCTGCTGTCACTGTCCAGTTTTCGATCTGTCTTCGCTTGTGTCTGTGCCGCGCTGCTGTCGTCAGTTGTAACCTCCGTACTCAGTGATCTTGTTCTGGTCGATGTTGTTGGAAACTTGTGAAGCTCCTGTGATTTTTGCTGTTTGATATTGTAATGATTAATTGCATTTTGTGCTGTCAAAATGATGACTGTTAAACTGTGAATGCATACAGAAAAAAAAAGTCTTGAGTCACTTTGTTTTTTAGATGCCTCTCGTAAAGTTGGAGTTTTGTCCGTTTGGCTGATAGCTTGCTGCAAAACCAAGCAACTGGACTACATGTAATACTAATAAGTGCACAGCACAAGTTTAGAGCTAAAGCCCCTATCAACACTATTACTGAAGTTATTTTAGAGGCGGGGCCTCCACATTTAGTGTCTGCCCTGATAGGACCGGGCCAAATTGGTTGAGTCTTAAAAACTCCGCCAAGCAGCAAGAGGTCAAGAACACCAAGTCTGGGAATTGAACCTGGGCCACCCATTCTGTAGTCCAGCATGATGGCAACTGACCAATGCAGTACCTACTACTGGACTGAAAGAACAGATTCCAATTTTTCCATCATCATAATCCTTTCTCACCCCATATCAACAAGAGTTCCCCATCTACTTATGACATGAGTCCAGCTATTTTCCCGTCTCCTTTCAGTCAAATCTAAGTCCTTCCTCCAAGTAAATCTACTATTAAGTCTTCTGTAATAGATTGACTTGATTGTCTATTACAAGCACAAAGCTAATTGAATTCATGGAGGCAGCCATCAAGGGTACACCAGAACTGAACTTTATTCAGAAGAGTTACACAACAGACCAGTGGCCAAAGGGGACACAATCATGATAATTAATAGGTTACTACTTCGAAGATTTATGTCCCTCTATTTTGTACGATTATTACACAGATTAATTGTTACTTTATTACATCTTCCTTTCTTTCTTTTTCCTTGAGAAGCCCACATTCAGACCCCCCCTCCAAAAAAAAAAAGTGAGCTGCTGCTGTTGTTCAAAACCCTGCAAGACACAATTCCCGGGTGGTTGGCAGGAGCTTTCATGTGGTTTGATCCTTCTTTCCTATAAAAAAAAATCTATCATCCTTACCCCTTCTTCTTTGTTTGTTTTTTTGTATGTCATTTTCTAGCAACACCTCAAATATTCTACACTTGTATTCAGAATTATGTTGCAAGTGCTGTAAAAGGTAGCCCATATTGTCAGTCTAAAATATAAAAGTAGAAAAAAACAACAGAAAACAAAACTTAAAAAAAACCCCCCACAAAACAAAACGATAAAAAACCCCAACAGCACAACATACAAACCTCATTGATGAATGCGTAATTATTACTCCCCTATGAAACAATGGAATAACAACACCCTTTTGTAAGTCGTGGAAGTTAAAAAAATTAATTAAAACTTACACAAATCACACGAACGAACGTAATATTTAAAAAAACAATTTATTTTGTTGTTGGTAAAAACAATCACAGTACAATGAAAGCAATTCGAAACAAAACAGAAAAGCGTTTTGTAAATGAAATCTGTAACATCACCGCTGCAGAGAAACAGAACAGAAGAACGACAAACAACAGCTCAAAAGGAGACAGAAGTCCGAAATTATGTCCAGGCCCACCTTGAGATTACTGGAAAGCTCTTCAATAGGATCAAAAATAAGAAAAAAACACAAAACAAAACAATATGTGTAGCAGCATCATGGTAAAATCAGGCACTCGTCAAAATTAATTAAATCAAAGAAACTATTATTTTTCTACCCGCTGAGCAATTTCAATCTTTTTTTTTTTTGTGCTGAAAACCTTTTGTGTCTATTCAAAAACACATTTCTTAGTGGGTTTTGCTTTGAAAAATGTTGATAAAAGGCACAAAATATGTAAATTTGCAATTTTTAAGGACTCTAAAGCGTTGGGAGTCCCCCAACTTTGGCAGCTATTTTCTTGCTACTTTTACCTCTGACACCAGGCAACCTCCCCATGTCCTTCAGTTGCAGATATTTGTGAGGCAGCGTGGTGGAATCAGGCTCTCATCACAATAATCAAAGTGAAGAAACTTGCATTTTTCCGCAGTGTGAATTTATATCAAATTTTTGTTTTTTGGCTCAACACCTTTCATGCCCACTAAAGAACTCATTTCTGTGTGGATTTTTCTGAAAAACATTGATTGAAGGCACCAAAAATGTAAATATTCAGTTACCACGCACTCTTAAGCTGAGGAAATAACTAATCTTTGGCGGTCATTTTTTCACTAATTTTACCTCTGAAAACAGGTGACCCCCACCTCCTTCTTTCGCAAATATCTCGACTTGTATTCAAGATAAATGGATATTTTTAAATTCAAAATAAAGACAAGTGAACAAGCTTTCAGATGATACCAATAACTCTACATGCCCAAAATTGACGAGAGCCTGATTCCACCACGCTGCCTCACATTTACACTTCTATTTAAGATAGATGGGGTTGTTTTTTTTTTCATTGAAAGCAAGGGAAAAGTACAGGCTTTAATATTATACCAATAACTACACATGCCCTAAAACTGAGAAGCGCCCGATTCCACTGTTTCTAGACCCATATGTGCACAACAATGAAATCTACTGAGCCGTAAAGGTTAATATATTTCCAGATATATTAGCCGAAGAGTACAGAACTGAAAAGAGTGACAAAAGTAAAGCAAGGAGATATATATATATAGAGCCAGCATGTTGTTGTACCAGAGACAGTTGCTTATCTAGACCTGCTGCAAAAGATCTCTCCGACAGAAGTATGGGCTTTGTTCTCATTTTTATTGACAAACCCAGTCTTGGCAGTTCCTAAATTTTTCTTCAATTCTGGTAAGTCCATAAGTAGCAATACTATAAAAAGAGAGAAAACATATTTTCTGATATAATGAAAACAGCCTTCAGTTCTCAGACTTTCAATATATCGTAACAAATATTTTACGCACTCATTGGCAGCTATGTATGTCTCGTTCTGAACCGTCACCAGTCGTGAAATGTCTGCGAATTGCGGCGATAATGTATTGTTCAACGGGGGGCCACTTCACTTGTGTCTCTCGTTGCGGTTGTAGGTGTAAATGTGCAGCTTCATGGAGTTGAACATCTCCGGGGCGGTTTTGTTCTGGCCAAAGTAGTCGACAAACTCTCCCTTGGGGTTCACCAGGTACGAGATGATGGAATGGTCCACCTGGAGAAAGGTCAAAGGTCACAGAGATAAACAGAGAGTAAACCTAGATATAATATGGTCGCTTTTAAGCACAAGGGGGAGAACATACACAGCTCAACTTTCACTTGAACAGAATAAAACCAGAACTTCCCCCAATGTGTCCTTTGTGTGACTATGCATATGACACTGTGGATCATCACCTGTTCCACTGTACAGCCCTAAATGACATCAGAGCTACACTTCTCCCTCCGAGACCTAACTTCGACAACACACTCTACGGAACATTACAGCAACTGCAGCAAGCCTGCACTTATCACTACATGGCATTGGATCGAAGGGCGAGAGCCCAGATGTTGCTGGAACGATAACAACAACAAGCACAAGGGGGCTATCCCGAAAAATGCTGTTTTGAGAAAATCGAAGGTAAAGTTTTTTTTACCCTTATTCAGTTTCTTTAAAAGACAAGGAGAGTTTTCTCAATAACCAAACAAATATACACACCAATGAAACGAAACTTCTTCAATAGGTAGGGCAATACCCACTTTAGGTGTAAGTCAAGGTTTCTGGAAACCCCCACAATCTGGGTTAGCCCCCTTGTCCTTAAAAGCGACTATATAGCAGCTTCAATAAAAGACAACTCGTCACTCCCACGCTCTCTCTCTCCTCTGATCAAATATGCTTGACCTAGTGCACAGAACAGGAATCACCATGGTGGGTTTGTGTGTGTGTGTGTGTGTGTGTGTGTGTGTGTGTGTGTGTGTGTGTGTGTGTGTGTGTGTGTGTGTGTGTGTGTGTGTGTGTGTGTGTGTGTGTAGTATTAGTTTTAGTAATGAGTTTTACAGCGATTGAAACACAAATACGTCATACAAGTGCTGAAGATTAGAAGTGTTACAAGAGAGTAATGTACATAGAAAGAAAGGAAGGAAGAGAGACACTTTACTTCACATTTCCGAGCCAGCAGCCATCGAGTTCTAGCCCTTTGGCCTGCTGACATGGCAAAGGATTTACAGGTTTTTTTAAAGCAGCACTTTGTTGCTGTATAGAGTATTTCCGACATCTGGGGAAGCAGGTAGGTAGGTAGATACTAAAGGAGAAGAGATAAGGATGATGGTTCAGAGAGATAAAACAAAGTAAGTCTATATATAGCAACTTCAATCAAAATAAAGTTGCCACCCCCTCCCCCTAACTGCTACATTACAGACGCCTGTCTGGTCGAATCGTGAGGTCAACTTACGATGTAGTCGTTGTCCTCATCCTTCGGCCCGGCGCTGAAGTAGACTCTGTAGGCTCTGGTGGCCGCGTTAATGTCCTCTATCGTACCCGTGAAGCCCAGCAGGCGGGGAGAGAACTCTGTGGAAATATATCACGCGTTAATGTCCTCTATCGTACCCGTGAAGCTCAGGAGACGGGGAGAGAACTCTGTGGAAATATATCACAGAAAGCTAGCTTGTTTCACACGTGTTCAAGTAAACTTTAAAAAAAATACAGTCAAACTGTCCCAGATGGCCATCTCTTGTTGAGAAATAAAAGTGGTTGTCTTAGACAGGTGGACATCTTGGACACTGTCATTGTAATATAGAATAAATACATGGGGGATAGTGGGAAGAGGCAGTTTGTACAGGTGATTGTCTTGGACAGGTGGCCATTAGAATAGAAGGGAAATCAATCATAACCACAACCAGAACATAAAAATCTTAGTAAGTTGACATAAAAACTCAGAATATAAATATTCAGCAAATAATTACATTTTAGTAATCCCCCTCCCCTCCTCCCCCTCTCCTGCAACCTAACAAAGCCCGACCCTATCCCAAAAGAGTAAGCTAAGACTTTTTCTGATTCACTCATGACTCCTTGTCAGTCCTTGTCTGCAGGTAACTTACAAAGAACTGAGAGATGAAAACTTTTTACAAGTGACATTTTCTGCAAATGATATCAACAAAGAAAGAAAACAGAGACTACCTTGCAAATCAACACAGTGTCAGGGGTTGAGTTAAATTGTGGTCTTAAAAAAACGTTTTCTTCTAGAAAAAAACACAACAAATTCTCTCCCATAAAAAATGACCAAAACAAAAAAAACCCCAAAAAAAACCAACCAATAACTAATCTATGCCATGATCAATCCCACTATTTAATGGGCCAGTCAATAAAGTAGCAATGATTAACGGAGAGAATAAATATGTGAGACATTGTGGTGAAATCAGGCGCTCGTCAAAATAATTAAATCAAAGAAACCGACATGTTTCTGTTTGTTGAGCTCTTTTTATTGATTATCTTAAATTTTTATTCCCACTGTTAATATCCATTTCAGCACACATTTCTGTGTGTATTTTACTTAAAGACAATCAAAGGCACACAAAAAATGAGAATTTGCAGTTTCCAAGGACATTGAAGTTTTGGAAATAAATAAACTTTGAAGGCCACTTCCTCACATGTTTTAAGTCTGATAACAGATGACCTCCACCTCTTTCAATCACAAATACTTCAACTTCAATTCAAAATAGATTAGTATTTTTCCCATCGAAAGCAAGATAAATGATCAGGCTTTAAGATTACACCCAAAACTCTACAAGCCCCAAAATTCACAAGCGCCTGATTCCACCTTGTTGCTACGCATATCTGTCTATTTGTGCTTTCTTTACAATTACAACAGCGAGCCTCACCGGACAGATACTCCTTCAAGGCCTCGGCTGTGTCCCTCTCCGGATCTACTGTGATCACGATTGGCTGGATCTTTGGCATGTCGGAGTCGGCATCTGGTGAGAGTTACACACAACCAAAGGTCAAGACGTAGGTAACGTGAAAGCCGAGCGAATGACAATATGGGAAGAGTAAACTACAGACAAAACTGTTTAAGACAGCAACCCATTGTCGAGAGAAAACTGGTCATCTTAGACAGCTGGATGTCTTGGCAGTGTAATACGGTAAAAAAAAACATAAAACAGGTGGGGAGGGGGGGGAAGATATTTGTACAGATGATTGTCTTACACAGGCGGCCTTCAGAGCAGGTTCAACTGTATCAGATAAAAGATCATTTATGTATTTATGTCACCAATCTAGTCTGATACAGCAAGTGGTTCGACATGTGAATGAGGCCTGGACGATATAAAAAGAAGTCGAAAACAGAATCCAAGCTGCAAAAATGTGGTTTAAGTAAGTTTTAGTAAAAGAGTTTTACGGCACATGCAACACAATAAGGTCATATAAGCACCGAAGAATAGATGTGTTACAAGAGAGTAACATACACAAAAGAGAAGAGAGATAAGGATGATAGATGTTTGATAGGAAAGAAGGAGCAAACCACACCAGAGCACCCGCCAACCACCCACAAAAATGTGTTTTTATAGAAGACAGGAGGTCAAATGGAGAGACAGAAGAACAAAAGAAATGTCCTGAAAGAATTCGATTCACAGCTTAGTATGCTTTCTGAGATCAGCAAAAGAAGACTCAATTAATTCCTACCAAAATGAAAATGTTTAACGTGTCCTTCATGCTCATATGACCCTATGCAGTTGGAAGTGCCGTAAAACACTTACCAAAATAAAATTTTAAAAAAGAAAGAAAAAAAAAAAAGAAAGAAAAAAAAAGAAAAGAAGACTCAGCTACCATTGTCACACAAACAAAGACAGACTTGGTGACAACTGTTCTGCAGGGTAAAACAGAAGCAAAGAATACAGGAAGACCTCTTACATCACACATACACCGAAAGAATAAAACCCGACAGAGGTCTATAATAGAGGTGGGCAAAATCCGGATAATCCATAAGGATAACCGGATAATTCTCAATGACACATTATCCAAATTCAGACTCTTAACTCTCTTTCCTGACCCGTTTGTCGAAGTGGGTGCACCCATTTGTCGAAGTGGTTCTAACCCATTTGCCGAAGCGGTTCATATGATATTATTAGCCGAAGAGGTGCACTAAAATATTATCCGGATTTTGCTGAAGCGACTCATTGCCCAGCTCTGGTCTATAACTTCGTGAAATAACACATCAAAGCTGAGACCAGGTATATCGATGGAGGACCGTTAATATGTTATATATTTACTTCTCAAAAACAAGTTTCAAATAGTTGATTTACTAAGACACTTTACTTTACTTTTTCGATCTAGTGGCCATTTGAGTTCTAGCCCTTCGGCCTGAAATAGCTGGTTTCAAATAAGCCTCCATCTGCGGATTTCAAATAAGTCAATAATGGAGATTCAACCCTTAATTCAATTATCGTCAAAATTGGGATTGAAAAGTTGAATCAATTTCTCATTACTACCTCATTCACTTACCACACTTCTCGAGGACTGCAACAATTTTCTCAATTTCCTCAGGACAAATATCTGGGCAGTTCGTGAACCCAAAGTAAATGAGAATCCACTGTCCCCGGAAGTCAACGCTGGACCGTCTGTTGCCATGGTGATCCGTCAGCTCCCAGTCACCGCCAAGCTTTGCTTTGCCCATTTTTCTGTTCTTCGCAATCTGTCTCTCTGGAGAAAATTTGTGCAAAATAAATGCAGTTAATACAAGCAGCACACAATTGGGACCACTTCGTACCTTCACCACATATTTACTAGTGTATAAAACATACATGGACACAGTGCATAATACATTGTGGTTCCTGCTCTTTGAATGTTAGTACAATAATAATAATAATGATGAAGATAATAATTTATGTTAATAATGTTCAATGATAATGATGATGATGGTATTATGATATTAATAATTCTCCATTTCATTGTATGTACCGTTATACATTATTTTTATATCTACCCTCTTAAGTCAGTGATTGCTCCTGTCACTACAGATCTTTAGAAATTGTGTTCAAGACGGAACCATGGAAAATAAATGAATGGTTCTGGAAATTCTTATGAATCGTAGAATACCCACGTCTCCATTATTTTTCAAAAGGGCATATTATAATTATAACACACTCCAATCCTGAAGACAGATCATCAAGGCGACATGCCTACACAATGAGGTCTAAATATCCAAGGTCAGACATACCCAGTTCCTTCTCCTTTTTCACGTAGTTCATACCAATCAGAAAGACGCCACCAATGCCGGCAACAATCAGGAGATTTTTCCATGATATGGGCTGGAGAGTATAGTGACAAAAAATAAATAATATCATCAATGTCATTTTAATTTTAAAAGCCATTTTTTTTTTTTTACGTTTTAAGAATAGAAAAGAAACAGAGCCTAAATCAGAAAAGTAGACTACACATTTTCCCGTTAAAGAACTAAGAAGGAAATAACAAAATTATTCCCAATGGCTCCTTTGTGTCTTTATTTGAAAACAGCTTTATCTGAAAACTCCCAGAAACTGATTTGGGCCCTGCCCAACAGTCAACTCTAAGCACTTTACAATCTATATTCACTATCCCAGCAGACCATGGATCGGAACACCCAGAAATTTTTCGGCTTCCCGGGAAGCACACAGTGCAAGCAGCCAATTAAGTGCTCAAACACTAACTTAAACAGGCAAGATCTTTCACTGATGATATGCTGCTTAGCCCCACTGACAGATCTGCAAGCAACAGGCCATATCAAACAAAAATCTCTGGCCATTAAATTGAAGTATACACATGGAAAATAGCCTTTCAGTATGGCAGCACAGCATACAGTGAGAAATCCAGTCTTAATATTGATGACTACCACAGTATAAATCCACTGCATGTAGTGGCAGTGTTCTGAAAAGAAAGATATCTCACCCTGAAATCATGCAGTGCAATTATAAAGTCTGTAAGAAACAGTTATAACATTTTTCATCATTTCTTTATAACCGTACATAAGTTCAGATGACATCAGCGTACACAGGCTTTCTATAAAAGTTAAAGTGACCTCATAACCTGAACAGCCAAGTGATATTCAAATCACTTTTAGGGCCTTAAAGTAAAAAGACAAGTCTGCATATTATCAAACCAAAGTAGCTAGCTGCAGAAAAAGAAAATTTTCGTCATACACTTTTTCCTGTGTTTTCCTTTGACTTTTTCTTTGGTGGTTGCTGTGGACCTGAGGTTGAAAATGTTTGCACTTGGGAGAATAAACTTGGTCCAGCAACAGGAAAGTGGCCTGATATCTGAAAGCAGACAGAAGATACATATGATTATTTTAATTAAATTGATAAAAAAATCAAGTGCCCTTTTGTCACCCCTGAGTCTTGAAATTTGAGAAAACAAAAGGCCGGCTCTATTTCTCCAAACGCCAGTTTTTTAAAATTTACTTTTTAGTCTTTGCTTTAGGGGTGACTAAATGCAAAATATGTCAAAGTTAAAAATAGTCTTGTTTCCTCGCAGTGCCTTTTGAAGGCATTTTCAAACGAAGAATAGTCTGAGAACGTTGCCCCAACAACAATTGAAGTCTGAATATTGAGACATCTAAAAATCTTTAACTCTATAAATTATTAAAATTCGATGCAAAAAATGCTTCTTCCCAGTCCTCGCAGAATGGCAGAATGAAAGATGACACCGAACTCTCGCAAATAACCAAAAATTCTCGAGGACAGTTCAACCATTCGGAGAAATAGAGATCAGTGTGTATTTTCCTGAGCTTTTGGAGAAAATATAGATCTAGAAATCTAGATTAGATCTAGATCTAGATCTAGATTTAGTCACTTCGAAAGAAAAAAAATTTACCAAAAAAAAAATCAAAAAATAGGGAGGGGGGCATGCCCGCTGTTTTTTCTCAAACGGTAATTTTATGTTTTACAATTAGGTTCAAAATTTTCTTTAAAATATAACAGTCAAGTGGCCAATTATAATGATAACAATTATTACTAGATTCTCTAGAGCTATATAATCTAGATCTATAATTGTTATTAAAACATTAGCATGTAAATCTCTGACAGCAAAAAAATACAACTGCTCGCTCTGTCTTTGACCCCCAAAAAAGAAGTGCGCACAGAATCTGTAGCGGTGGTAAACTTTACCCCATTCCATCAACATAGTACAGACAGGGTACAAGCTATCGTTTTTAAGATATTCATATTAAATATGATATTGATATAATAATAATAACTGATACTAACCCCTAAAACTTGCCCTTGTCGGAGGTAACTGTTACTGTGACGACCAACATGCCTTCCCACTGCGGAGGTCAAAGGCGTCTGCAACGTTCCCATTGATCTAACAAGTGGCCATGAATATACAAGACGGGAACCTGTTCTGACACTCTGACAAACAGAACAAGAAGTCTCTTGAGCAAATAAACGAAAACATTGAGAGCAAAGACGCATCGCTGAGTTGTAAACGAAGGTTATCATCGTCACGTCTATCAACTTTCGATTTCACAACTGAACTTATGAAAGGCGAAAAGTAAATAGACAGCATTCCGCTTCCGTGCCGACGAAGTCCAGATTTTTTCAGGGAGGTCAATGAAAAGAGATCAGAATGTGTTGACCTGGGTCTTTTCTATTATTTTATTGATTTTCTTCAATTAGCTTAGGCCTAAATAATGTATATTATGCTACTAAATATTTTGATTTTAGAATTACATTTTTCTGTTATGTATTTAAAGACCAGATAGATGATTCCAGAATTTCCAAACTTAGCCTAGTCTTGCTTAAAAAAAACAACTCAAAAACACTTGCTGCTAGCTTGGGACAAATTTAGGAACCACGGAGAGCCAAACAATATGGCCGACGAAGTGCGGTGATATGACAGAAGTGCGTGTTAAAAAAGTAATATTTTCAGTATATCTTCAGAATGGAAAATAACGACACTGTTTGTCGGTCAGGTCCTTCACCCAGCCAAATGCGTGAAAGCTCAAGCTATGATTCTCCCCAAGAAGATCTCTATCAAATGCCAGACCCAATATCGTCAACTTCGCAATCTGCTCTCGCCGGTGTCAGTGACTGTGACGGAGATGGGGATGGCGACTTGCAAGTGGACTCAATGCTTTCCCACGATGTTTCTACAGATTTAGAAGAAGACGATGTCCAGGCCATGAATACCTCACTAAGCTTTGAAGGCGTACCTGAAGAAGTGCTGGAGCATATTCTGTCATACCTGTCACCATATAAAGACATGGATTCTGCCAAACTTGTTTCAAAACGGTGGCTCCGCGTAATTAAATGTAAGCACTCCTCAATCCTTTTTAGGTCTGCAATTATAACATTTCTGTTTATTTATACAAATCTAAAGTGCTCATTTTGTGCTACTGCTCTTGATCTTTTTTTTTGGCATATAGATCTAGATCTATTTAAGGTAAAATAGTTCATCAGGGCCAAAAGGTAGGCCTTTTTTCTAAAGGCCTACAAGTTTAGTAAGCTCTTAAAATGTCTTGAGGCTTGAGGGTTAGGGGAGGTGAAATCATCATGAATGTTGATCAGTTTGCAGGAGATTTTTTGTCCCTGCATGCACACTTAATCAGTCTGTGCATTTAAATCTAGATCTAGTCATCAAATTCCAGAATTGTTGAATTTTTAGACTTTCACTCGTGCAGTTCACCACATTTTTTTTTACTAATCTAGATCTAATCTAGATCTAGAATCTAGATCTAGATTCTAGATCTAGCCTGTAGACTTTAATATTAATTTTATTATAATAAATAGCATCTTGTTTTGATGTTTTTGGTGTGTGAACTACAGTTTAGTATGATGTAGAATAAATATATTCGAAGTAGGCCTCAACACTTCCTTGTAACTTTTTCTAAAGGGAATCTTGGAATTAAATTAGGGGATTTACAGAACACTCAGACATGAAGGCTTCCTGATATTTTTCCCCTGAAAATACCAAGTGTTTCATTGCTGTTACCCTTGTTTTTGCAGCTGTAGTGAAGCACAGGAGGAGACATTTTTACCAAAACCTGAGTAACTGCGACGTTGAGTGGACTGAAGTGGTCAAAGATGTTCAGAGTGGTTTCTCAGAACGAAATCACTGCAGGTAAGGATTTTAATAATAGAACAAAGCCAGTCCTTATCATGGCCGGTTGTCGCGTATGGGACCCTGCCCGCAGTGCTATTGCTTGTGGAGGGTATGGACCTATTACCTGGGGGTGGGGGGGGGGTACCCTCTATGAGCTTCAAGTTAGAAAAATGGAGATGGCAAGCAATCGCAGAGGATGTCAAACTAAAGAGATTTTATTTTGTTTAGTTCAACTCGACACAAGGCTCACGGGTTGCTGCTTTTTTAAGTCGAGAAGGTTTTTTATGCACTGGAACAAATGGGGAGATTTTGAAACCACCCGAGGTGTATTTTTATAACATGACATATATATAGACCTATTTTCTTGTGTATATTCACATTGTGTTGGAAAGCCGTTCCAAATTTGATTCAAAGTTAGTATCATTTCCAAATTGGGGCTTTCTTCGCAGCTCACTTAGCCAGCCACAGGGGGAACCTCAGGTTATCAATTGATGTTGCGGTTGCGTCCCATGACGAGACTGCTACTTCTAATTGATGAATGTGAGAGAAGTTGGCACTAGAAAATTTTTTTTAGCTCTGTTAATCCTCGCAAATCAGGGTGTGGAGGCATGGTTGTCAGAGGATTTTGCTTTTTATTTTAGTAAGGTTTTTACGGCGCTCGCAACCGCATATATAAAGGCATATATGAGCGCCAAGGGGTGGATGTCAACAGAGAAGTCCAAATGCGGAATCAGGCTTTCTCTGCTCACCTCTCTCTAGCCTCAACAGCACAGTCTGCTTCGACTATCAAAGCGCCCTTGAAATAGCAGTTCACAAGAGAGCGACAAACATACAAAAGAAGTAGAGGAAAACGACGATTGTAAGGATGAAGAAAGAAAAAGCATCAGTTCCCCCTGTGTTGTTTCGGCACAGTATAAGCATGACATTGATAAGTCAGCCCATTTACAATTCTACTGTGCATACGAACATGATGCTAACATCCGCCCTTTGGGAATTGTCTAAAGACACTTAGACACTTCAGTCAGTGACATTGCCCTGGGGGTGGGGGGGGGGATTTGATTAAAGCTGAAATAAAAGAAAAAACTTTTTGTTCACAAAGTTGGGTAATTCATAATTTATGACATTGCCCTGGGGGTGGGGGGTGGGGGGGGGGGGATTTGATTAAAGATGAAATAAAAGAAAAAACTTTTGTTCACAAAGTTGGGTAATTCATAATTTATGATTGTGATTTCTTTTCTCCTCGTTCCAGCCACATCACCGACAGGTTCTCTCACAGCGCAGCCTACTGGAACGGAGCCATGTACGTGTTTGGGGGCTGCACCTCCACCAACACAACGTTTAACGATCTCTGGATCTTTGACTTGACCTCCCGCCAGTGGATCAGGCCCGTCGCCATGGGTGAGTGTTGACGGAGTTGATCTTTGAGGTTGAAGGTTACATGACACTATAAGAAGTAAACAATGGTGGGAGCAAACAAATCAACAGAAAGTACACATACATGCTTTCATACATGGAAATGGGAAAGTAAAGAAAATAGAAGTGGATTGGGCACAATTTGAGAAAAACGAAAATAAGTATAATCCACCAAGCCTTGAGATGGGATCCACAGATGGTACGAATACTCTTATTGTTTCTACAACTGAGGGTATCCCTACTTCAATTTTTTTAGAACCGATGGTACAAATGCTCCCATTGTTTCGAGCACTGATGGTACGAATACTCTGTTGTTTCCGGAACTGATAGTACGAATACTTTATTGTTTTCAGAACTGAAGTACGAATATTTCATTGTTTTCAGAACTGATGGTACGAATGGTACGAATACTCTGTTGTTTCCAGAACTGATAGTACGAATACTTCATTGTTTCCAGAACTGATAGAACGAATACTTCATTGTTTCCAGAACACTTCATTGTTTCCAGAAGTGATAGAACGAATACTTCATTGTTTCCAGAACTGATAGTACGAATACTTCATTGTTTTCAGAACTGATGGTACGAATACTTCATTGTTTTCAGAACTAGTGGTACGAATGGTACGAATACTCTGTTGTTTCCAGAACTGATAGTACGAATACTTCATTGTTTTCAGAACTGATAGTACGAATACTTCATTGTTTTCAGAACTAATGGTACGAATACTCTAGTTTCTTGAACTGATAGTGCAAATACTTTGTTGTTTCTTGAACTGATGGTATGAATACTTCATTGATATCAATTCATAATCTCATGTTTGTACTTATTGTACACAATTTTGTTCCCTCTTCCCCCCTTCCCCAGGGTCGTATCCTTCCCCGAAGGCGTGTGCCACCATGGTGGTCTACAACGGTAACCTGGTACTTTATGGAGGCTGGAGTCATCCCATCCCATACCCTCTGCATCAGGTGGGCAAAGGAGACGACGAATACTGCTTGTAGCTGAATGGGACTTTCATACACTTATTTATATACTTTACTTTACTTTTCGGATTCAGCGGCCATTTGAGTTCTAGCCCTTCGGCCTATCATACACTTATGAATGAGTTAGGGCACGTTTAGAATATAATATATAATCCACCACACATTCTAGGATGACGACCATTTATTGAGTGCTCATAAAACAACTGTCTTCTCCTCCTCCCTTCCTTCCTTCTTCCTCATTCATCTTCCTCCCTTCCTCTTCTCCTTCCTCCTTCTTCTTCTTTGAAAGACTGTCAGGAATAATAGAGAGAAGAGCTAAGAGGAAAGGGGGGGGATGAGAGAGATAATGGTGATGAAAGCAGATGACAAAACAGAAAAGGGAGATCATTATAGAGAAGAACATAACATTATTTTCTACCCTTTTTTTGCTCCACATTTGGAACTCTTAAAAAAACATTTTAATTTCTGTGTTTCTGCCATGGGAAATTTTGTTCATAGTATTTTGTTTGTTTGTTTGGTTGGGGTTTTTTTTACCTTTGGGGGAGCGGGGGGAGGTTTGTTTCAATGGTTGTGGTTTTATTTCTTCTTGTTTTCTCTTCCCCCTGCACCCTCAGTCGGCTCACTATTTCTCGGAGCTGCACGTGTACAGCCCTGTGTCGAACCGTTGGTCTCACGTCCTGTCTCTCGGGGTGGAACCAGAGGCGCTGGGAGGTCACTCCGCTTCCGTCGCTGGTCACCTCATGATCATCTTTGGAGGCTCTCCCAGGCCCGGACAAGGGTGAGATTGGAACGAGAACATGTCACTTTCTAGAAATGATAAATCCCCCCCCCCCCCCCCCCCCCCCGGCACAGTTCCAATGACTGTAGTGTCTTCAGGCCATTCCCAAAGGGGGAACATTTCTCGTTCAAGCATAGTGGAATTGTAAATGGGCTGACTCATGTCACGCTCATAACTGTGTCTGATCTACAACAGTGAACTGCTGCTTTTTTTTTCCTGATCCTTACTATTGTCATTTTCCTCTACTTCTTTTGTATGTTTGTCACTCTCTTGTGACCTGCTATTTTTGAGGTGCCTTGATAGTCGAAGCAGACCTTGTGCTGTTGAAGCTAGAGAGGTGAGCAGTCTATGTCTGATTCCCTGTAAAGACTTCTCTGTTGACACCCACCCGTTGGCGCTCTTATGACCTTATGCAATTGCGAGCGCCGTAAAACTCTCTACTATAAAAAAAAAAGAAATAGAAATGATAATGGCGTGTTTTCAGGTGTGTGTTCTTCAGAAAAAAACAAAACCTGTGTATTTCAGCAATTTCGGTACCATATATGTCTATCTGTTTTGCTTCTTGTATGTTTTTTTAAAATGCCTTCTGAGTGTCCTTATCTCATTCACTATGCAATTTTCTATTGTTTTGGACATAATTTTGACTGTGAGCCGACATATAATGTAGTAATAATAATAATAATGGGTAACGTTTGTATAGAGCAAATTTCCTCTCAGCATCAAGCTCTACGGGCTTTACAATGTATATTATCACCCCCAGCAGACCTGTTGATGCTTGCTACTTCTGATGGGTTTCCTGAGCAGCCACTGACATACGATAATATAAGTTAAATTTTGTGGACCCGTGAGGGAATGTATGGGTGGATATACTAGAAAATTAACATACCAACACTCGTCAGTAGAACTCACTCTAGCTTGTCTCGAGTGTCCCCCTGTCTTTCATGATTCTCCCATTTGTCTACCCGTTTTTCACGTGTTCCTCCACCCCCCCCCCACCTCCCTATTTCTCACATGTTCCCCCATCCCCCCCCCCCTTTTCTCTCGTTTTCCCCCATTTCTCACATCTACCCTTCTTTTCTCATGTATCCCCTATCTCTAATGTCTCCACCTATCAGAACCAACAATCTGTGGGTGTTCAATTTCCTGAAGGGATCGTGGAAACTGCAGCCTGTGACCCGGGACGCCAAACCCGAACCTCGCTACGGCCAGTTTCAAGTGAGTAGTGGTTTTGTTTGTGTGTGTGTGTGTGTTTGTGTGTGTGTATTTGTATGTGCACATATGTTATACAATGTATGCATTTGTATTTCACTTTTATCCGTCTATGTCTCTCATCCCTCTTTCACTTTTTTTTTTTTCTCTGTCTTTCATAACTCTCAACTTTTAGAATTTTTGTTTCCACTATTTTTCTTTCATTTTTATCTAAGTATTGTTGCTACCTCAGTGGATGTTTTTCTGATGCCACTGGGGTTGGTCGTGCAGCTTGATTTTTGTGTTTGAAGAAAACCTTCACGTCTTTTTTTATGTTTTCATTTAGCAAAAGATCCTAGTTTATTTCTTTGAATTCAGTAACCTTATTGAGTGGGGGGGGGGTATGGCCATTCTATAAAAAGATAAACCTGCAGGGACACAGTAGTAGTACGAAGATGATGATCTGCTGAAAAAATTTGTAAACCTTAATAGAGCCGATCTTTCTTGGGTTTTTTTGTTAGAGGTAACCTTCTGCTAACAATTTTGTTGGGAAAAAATGTTTTATTTTGTCATGAAATCGCCCTCTGCCATTATGGAGAGTTTATCTCGAACGCCATATACTTACTTACTTTGTTTTAATTATTATTGTTTTTATGTTTATGACAGTTCCCTCCCTTCCCCAGACCACCCTGGACGTCAATCACGTTCTCATCATGGGCGGCTGCGTGGGACCCAACAGGGTGAGTCTCTGCAAGACCTGCAACAGAACCAGACACCACTGGCATCTGGTGTTTAAGTTAGGAGCTTCTCCGTCGGAGACCCGCGTTCAGTTCCTGAAAGAGGAGATTTTTAAAAATCGAGTATACCAGTCTTTCTGCTGGAATGTTGTATCCCTCTCGGTCAGGGTTGCCCTTGACAGGCAGGGTCGGAAGGCCCCCTCCTAAATGATCTAAATTGTGTGGAAGGGGTCCCCATTTTATTGGGAATTTCTCGTATTCACACTACATTTCCTGAGGGCTTGATAACAATGTCAACTGAGAACGATATATTTTTTTTTTAATCCAGGGAAACATTCCTCCTGGATGTTGCACTTCTGTGGCAATTTTTGGCGTTTTTTTTTTTTTTCTGGGTATGGAGACTTCTTCTTTTTTCCTCTTGTTCCTATATTATTGTGCTGGCGTGCAATTTGCATTTTTGACCACAATCAATGGTTGCTCTCTCTTGTGTTGTTTGCTCCTTCTTTCAAATCTCACATCTATCCTGATCTCTTCTATTGTTTTTTGGTTTGTTTTTTACTCTCTTGTAACACTTCTATTCTTCGACACTTATCCAACCTTATTGTGTTACAAGTGCCATAAAACTCTTACCAAAACAAACAAAATGATGTTGTTGTTGTTGTGTGTGTGTGTGGTAGCCTATCCGTTCGAAATGTTCGTAGGCGGAAGATCGTGGTCTGTTTCTTTTTCTGTAGCTGGTTGATATTGTTATTCCGTTTTGTTGTGGTCATATATATGTTTGGTAACTGCCCTGCCTGTCTTTCCCAGGCCCATCTGTTCATCCAGTTTTGTTTGTTGTTACTTTTAATGATTTGTTTTGCACTGTTGTATGAAGTTGGAATGTCGGAACAAAATGATGTAAATTGTAACTTTTTTCTCTCTCGCAGCCGTACAATGACGTGTGGCTACTCACCCTGCACCAGGATGACCCCTGGCAGTGGACAAAAATAGCTGTTCTCAAACCCGAGCTGGCCGCCCCTCAGACCTGGTGCCACGGAGCCTGCAGGGTGAGTTCTTGTTGGTTGTTTCAAATTTGATTGGATTGGTTTTTGTGGACGTAATCGTACACACGCACACGCACACACACGTATGCACGCCATACACACACACTCATTTCTCCCTCTATCTGTCTGTCTCTGTCTCTCTCTCTCTCTCTGTTTCTGCCTCTCTCTTTTTTTCTCTCTCTCTCCCTATCTCTCTCTCTCTCTCTCTCTCTCTCTCTCTCTCTCTCTCTCTCTCTCTCTCTTTCTCTCTCTCTTTCTCTCTTCTCCCCTCCCACCCCTTACCTCCACATACACACACACACACGCATCTTACATAAACCAAACATGCACTAGCCTTGTTTATTTTTGTATTTTCTCCACAGGTTCGGGACACAATCGTGGTCGTGGCAAAATCATCTAAACCAAGACAGGCCAAAAACCGCAAGGCTTGGCACCCCCGCCCCAGCCCGCAGGAACAGGAAGAAGGGAAGTGGGCGGGTGCGGCCACAGCATCAGCGTGCGTGCAGACGTCCCCGCAGCAGCCCCCGGCCGGAGCAGCCGAGGGTTCGGGTCCCCACAGCCAGGAGGCGTCTCGGCCGTCCACTAGCGGCTTGTCCTCACTGCAAGCAGGTAAGCTGATTCCGTGCATGGTGTCTTCATGCTCTGGACAGTTATTTTTTCCTGTTCAATTTTTTACCTGGGGTGCGTCTATTTAATGCATTACTTTGAGGCTCTACCCTGGGCCTATCCCTGCCTCGTTTGCCTTCAATTTTGCCTCCCAAATGGTCTAAATTATGCTGCGTGGAGTGTAAAAGAAAAGGTTACATTTGAAAAAGAAGAGATTAAGCGACTGTATGAAGACACAGGCAATAAGTTGATCATAATCATTTGTATCACGGCGTGGTGGAATCGGGCGCTCGTCAATTTTTGGGCATATGGGGTTATTGGTGTCATCTTAAAGCCTGTTCATTTGCCTTCCTTTTGGTGAAAAAAGTATTCAGATATGTTGAATAGTAGTCGAAATATCTGCGTTTGAAGGTCAAAGTCGCCTGGTTTCAGAGATAAAATTAGTTGGAAAATGGCCTCCAAAGTTTGATCACTTTTATAGCCTGTGAGTCCTTGGATACTGAACATTTTTTTTGCCTTTAATCAGTTTTCAGTAAAATAGACACAAAAGTGTATTTTTTAATGGACATAAAAGGCGTTGAGCCATAAAAAGAAAAGTTTTTTAAAATTGCTCATCAGCTAAAAAAAATGACGATTTCTTTGATTTCATTATTTTGACGAGCGCCTGATTTCACCACGATGCCTCACCTTTTCGCTTCCTCCCAGGAGCCATGGAGCCAGAGGAAGGCGTTGCATCGGAGATGTGCCCCCCACAGCAGCAGCACAAGGGCAACCTGCTGGCCCTACAGCAGAGGCTGCACCGCGAGTGCGCCAGCCTCCAGGACCCCGACAACCACCACCACAACCCCCACCGACTGGCGCAACCCGAGCCCGAAGGTCACTTCCTGCGGCTGGAGAACCGCTGGGTTCACGGAGGTGCCGCCCCGCCGCCGCCACAGCATCAACGGCTGCTCGGGGAGCACCAGCCCGCTCTTCAGCAACAGCAACAACAGCAACAGCAACCACGACAGCAGCAGCAGCCGCAGCAACAACAACCACGACAGCAGCCTCCTCAGAGACCCGCCCAACCCGTGTTACCTCCGAACCGTCTGGCTCTCCAGCAGTCGCCGGGTCACAACCCGCTGGCCAACATCCAGGCGCGGGGCAGGGGCAACGGCATGCCGTCGATCCGGCCCAACGCCATGTGCAACCGGCAGAAACAGCTGGAGGCGTTGCAGCGGCAGGAAGAGATTCTCCGATCAAAATCGCGGGCCCTGGCGGCCGCTAAGAAACAGGCGGCCAATGGCGGCGGCGTGTCACGAGAGGATTCAGTCCCCGAGATAATCCAAACCAAGAACAAAATGGACGTGCACATTCTGGACATAGGTGAAGTGATCAGCAAAGGTGTCGCGGAGTGGCGGCCCCTGAGCAAGCTTCAGGCCACGTGTGCCCCGACAGAGACGATCTGCTGCAGCCTGTTGGAGGGCCGAGGGGAGTTAATCCTGTTTGGTGGCGTGGTAAGGGAGGCCACCAGTCCCGTTGTCATCAACACGGCCATCAGCAAGCTCTACCTGCTGCACGCATAGCCCAGTGATGTGTTGTTTATGTGTTGCCATGTGATGTGTTGTTTATTTGTTATTTGTGTGTTGCCAAGTGATGTGTTGTTTATGTGTTATTTATGTGTTGCCCAGTGATGTGTTGTTTATGTGTTATTTATGTGTTGCCCAGTGATGTGTTGTTTATGTGTTGCCAAGTGATGTGTTGTTTATGTGTTGCCGAGTGATGTGTTGTTTATTTGTTGGTGATGTGTTGTTTATGTGTTGCCAAGTGATGTGTTGTTTATGTGTTGCCAAGTGATGTGTTGTTTATGTGTTGCCAAGTGATGTGTTGTTTATGTGTTGCCAAGTGATGTGTAGTTTATGTGTTGCCAAGTGATGTGTAGTTTATGTGTTGCCAAGTGATGTCTTGTTTATGTGTTGCCAAGTGATGTGTAGTTTGTGTGTTGTCAAGTGATGTGTTGTTTATGTGTTGCCAAGTGATGTGTTGTTTGTGTGTTGCCAAGTGATGTGTTGTTTGTGTGTTGCCAAGTGATGTGTTGTTTATGTGTTGTAGTTGCTGGAACTCCTTTCCTTGTGATTTTGCTGAGCGTACCCGATGACACTATGAGTGAGTAATTTGTCTCATTTAGCACTCACATAGCGAAACACGCATATACCACGAACAGATATTCAGGTTCTGAATTTGTTTTCTTCCATGTATATTCTTTGTATCCAAAACATGTACTTCGCGACCTCAGTGCTATCTTGTCCTATCTTGATTTTTTTTACCAATGAAAATGTGACTTCTTCTTAATAAATATAAAAGCTCACTCTTTGTTATGAACTGTTTTCACTGTTATTAAAAATGGAGAAAGGACAAGAAAGCACTGAGGTCGTGACATAGGGAAATTTGTCGTGCATAAAAGATAGGATTTCTGTGTCCTGCTAAGTTTGCTAATGTGTATGCTGGACTATTTTCTTGACAGACAAGTCGAGATTTTCAAGCTTTGGTAAAATACCTTGCATGCTCACCACATAAGTCATAATAAGTTAAAGAAACAAAGTGTTGTGAACTGGGCTTCAGACGTCGCATTGAAAGCTTAGATTTATTGTGCAATATGTATTGTTTGCTACTCATAATAAATGTATGTGTAGCGACGTGTCAAAACGAGTCACATGACACATTTTGGCTCTGCAGTTGACTGAACTTGCTTGAGTTATCTTTTCCTCGGGAGAAGCAGTTAAGTTCGACTTCAGATGAGCTGATCTTTTTTTCTCACTCCGCCAAGGACATCAACTTATCGGTAGTCCACTGTCGTCACTTGAAGGTGAATTGGTTAGAAACACTCAGGTTTGAGGAAATTGAGATTTTTACACAATTTTCTGAAACAACTGAGTTTGACAAGTCACTCGTCTTGAATTGTCGTGTTGCTACACATATATATCTGTCCTTAGATTTTGCAGTCAGTATAATATATAACTCCGCTGTCACCAACCTTATGATGATGATCCAGATCTTGTTTGAAGTAGGCTGTATTTCATCAGCTACCTGCTTGATGGGCTTAAGTTCAAAATTTTGCCATTCATTTTTTCATTGCACTTTCTTAATCTTTGGTATCGCTTACATCTGTCAGATGAATACTTTTATCAGAATTCAAACTCTAAATGTTAGAATAAGCACGTGAAGATGTTTAAACCAGAAAAATAGAATGAAATTAAGTTTTTTCTCTTTCAAGAACAATGTTGCTTTCTGGACTTTGTACATTTAGATTAGACAGCTTGCTGGAGATTTGTCACACAAACTAGATTCTTCTACTAGTTTGTCAACCTCTCCTGGTTGTCTCAATCTTTTCTGTGAAAGGCGACTAAATAAAACTATTTCTTGGGACGTAGCTTGCCCGTTTTATGTCGCAGTGATGGCTGTTGTTGCTGTGTTACCGTTTGGAGCTCTGGTGTGCCATTTGAATTTATGAAATATAAACAGCCTTACTACCACTACTGATTATATTATTATAACGGTGGCCATATTTTATGAACCAGAATGATGTGTCTGCATTATATTATATATATGCGTCCACTTATTTTTATTACCATCAGTAGATGCTTATTGTATATGCTGTCCTGCAAAACTAAGCTGAAGTAGTACTTGCTGTGATCTCACTTCTAATCAGCTAATCCCCTCTTCCCAACACCCCCCCCCCCCCCCAACGCCCCTCCGACCCCTCAAACACCTGATGTAATGAAATAAAACATGCAGTTTTTGTACAAGCTTTTGGGGTTTCTTTGTGTTTTGTTGTTGAGCTGTTTTGTGTGACTCTCTTTTGAGTGGTGTGTTGGTGGCCTAGTGGTTAGGGTACTGGACCCGTAATCAAGAGATTGCGAGTTTGCAGGTTTGAGTGAGCCTCAGCTCAGTCCGAAGTTGTATCCTTGGGAAAGACACAATACATGATTTTCCTATTTGGCTCGGTCCTTTTGAAGATGGATGTTAAACTCGGAGGTCCCGTCTCTTAAATTAAATAACCTGATTTTCCTATTTGGCTCGGTCCTTTTGAAGATGGATGTTAAACTCGGAGGTTCCGTCTCTTAAATAACCTAATAGTGAACATTCTTAGGGGCATTAAACAGAGAACAATTCACCGTTTTTTCCTCCCAGCGTCTCTTGTGTAATGGTTACGCACTTCGCTGTCACAAGCAGGAATTTGATTATTTCTGAGTGGGGAGAAATTTTTATAGACTAATTTTGAGTGTCTCAGCTTTCTGCTGAGATACTGTATCATACTGTATCACTTTCAGCCCGGGTTGGCCTTAACACGCTGGGAAGGAAGGAAGGCTCCTTCCAAAATGAACTAGATTGTGTCGAGGGGGGGGGGGGGGGGGGGTGTAAAAACAACTACATTGTACTTTAAAGATAAAATAAATTGATTTGGTCCGTGGGTGGTTGGCGGGTGCTCTGGTGTGGTTTGCTTTTTCTTTCCTATCAAAGATCTATCGTCCTTATCTCCCCTTCTTCTTTTTTTAATGTTTGTTACTCTCTTGTAACACCTCTAATCTGTGGGTGGTTGGCGGGTGCTCTGGTGTGGTTTGCTTCTTCTTTCCTGTCAAACATCTATCGTCCTTATCTCCCCTTCTTCTTTTTTATGTTTGTTACTCTCTTGTAACAGCTCTAATCTTCTGGCGCTCATATGGCCTTATGCAGTTGTGAGCGCCGTAAAACTTCTACTAAAACAAACAAACAAACCTCTAATCTTCTGGCGCTCATATGACCTTATGCAGTTGCGAGTGCCGTAAAACCTCTACTAAAACTTAAACTAAAGATTTGGTCCAGAAATATATATGGACATGCTTGTTGATGTGTGCTGTCACATCATGCATAGATCCAAACTCGTCCATACATTGTCATATCACCACCCTCTCAAGACATACTTATCGTGTAGTTACATAGTATTTTGTTTGACAGTGCTTCAAAAACATTTGGAGTTCCATTCCCATGTGGAGAAATTTTTGGGGATGGTTGGCGGGTGCTCTGGTGTGGTTTGCTTCTTCTTTCCTATCAAACGTCTATCGTCATTATTCTCCTCCTTTTTTTGTGTTTGTTACTCGCTTGTAACACCTCTAATTTTCGGCACTTATATGACCATATTGTGTTGCAAGTGCCGTAAAACTCTTACTAAAATAGGGAGAGATTTTTTTAGTGTCTGGGTACGTCTGCTGAAATGCTGTTTTGCACTCATCCAGGGTTGACACTAACCAACAGCCTGCCTCCTGAATTCTCTAATTTATGCAATGGGGACGTGAGCAAACAAATCACCTACATTAAAAAAACAAATTATGCTCATGCCTCCTCATTCCTTTCCCTCCTCTCTCTTTCGCTCTCTGAACGTTTACTCATTCTCTTTTGCTTATGCAACACCTCTAATCTTCGGCACTTACATAACTTTATTGTCTTGCAAGTGCGTGCCGTAAATCTCTCACTAAACCTTAACTCATACATGAAGGATACCGGCCCTAAACATTAATATACTTCTGCAGATCTGTGGTGGAGATATACTTAGCTTGGTCCAACATCTGTGTCTCAATTTCTTTATTCGTACTCTTTATTTATTATCTTCTATTTCTCTCTCTCTCTCTCTCTCTCTCTCTCTCTCTCTCTCTCTCTCTCTCTCTCTCTCTCATTCTCTCTCTCTCTCTCTCTCTCTCTCTCTCTCTCTCTCTCTCTCTCTCTCTCTCTGTATGTGTGTGGGGGCGTGGTTGGCGGGGTCTCTATTGTGGTTTGCTCCTTCTTACCTGTGAAATACCTGAACGTCGTCCTTGTATCTTTCTCCTTTGTTGTTTGTTACTCTCTTTGTTACACCTCTCTAATCTTCAGCACTTAATATATGACCAAATAAGGCTAACTGGGCTACAACTTACTAAAAAACAAAACCTTTCTAAGTGTTACACCTCCGAAGTGAGGTATATGAATTTATGAAACAGTAAATTAATTATATTATACTTTCTTAGTAAGGCATTGATTTAACTAATTAGTAGTAGAAGGCATACCCTTTCTCAACCGAGAGTTGTGGAAATTGCGCCAACTTCTGGTCATTTAACCTTCAAATTCAAAGAGAGGTCAGCACAGGGAACTTTACTTTTGCCCCATATAAAACACAAAGGCCACAACATCAACATCAACGACGACAACAACAACAAACAACAACAACAACGGGACGACAGCAACAGGAGTGACGGCAGCATAGACAGGAAAGTCGATAATGGGCTTTTGATTTCAGACCAACGAAAAGAGAGGTCGGGTCAGGAAATCCACCCGATCTCGCAAAAGTCGTTCATAATAGTTATGACCTTATGCAGTTGCGAGCGCCATAAAAAAAAAAATCCTAAACATCTCGCAAAAAAAGTTTCCAGCAAATTACAAACAAGGGGACGTGAACAGCACCTCACTTTCAATAAACTAAATTTTACGGTTATTCCCCTTACATTTAACAGTACCAAAATTTATTAAAAAGAATAACAAATCACCGCTATCACCTAGGTATGAAAATTATAATATTATTATACTTGTATGTTTTATTGTAATATTATAATCATTATGTCTTTGAAACTCCAGGAGCAGGCATCGCGGATTTTTTTGTTTTGTTAATTATGAGTAGACGTATTAATTATACTTTTACTAACAGCGGACATCAAGGAGTTTAGGCCTAACTTGTTTTCATCATTGAAGAGTTTTCCGGTGTTTAGATTAATGTTTTCTAATAATATTTTAATGAGTTGAAATGTTTTCCTCTTGGGACCCATCACTGAAATAGTACAGAGAGTAAAGTTGCTTTATTACATTTTCTTGTGAATGTAATTTACTAATAAGGAATAATGTGCTTTACTGAGTTTAAACGGCTATTTCGTTAAAACTTATTTAATCCCAGAGGTGAACTCTCCTTAAATTCTCTTGGATTTAATTTGAGAGAGTCGAAATCGTCTTCTTGACTCCTGATGAATCTTGAATTTGAGATACGAATGTGATGTCTGCTAAACATTGTTAAAGACGAGGAGAGTGTCGATGGATATTGATAAACTACCCTGACTTCAGTAGAGATAGATCAAAGCCAAGGTTCGGGAAAATACTTGACTCTATTTCTCAGAACACGGTTTCCGTTGCCGTTGTCGAGATAATGAGCGAATGGTCATGGAGTAGCCTGTGTGTGTATGTGTGTGTGAATGTTTGTGTGAATGTCTGTGTGTGAATGTCTGTGTGTGTAAGGTGTGAAAGGGGGGGGGGGAATGTGGAGGGATTTTTTTTTTCACATGCATCATGAAGGATTTTTCGCCCCTCCGACCCACGACACACGCTGACGAGCCATCTTTAATTGCTTCTGATGACCTCTTGACAAATAAACATTTATTAGAAGCGCTATAACTTTTCAGGCCGGCCTCAAATTCATAGTCTATATAAAAACTCGGCTCCTGCACAAAACGCCATTTTATCCGAAGTGATCCCGGTCTCTACCCAGCCAGAGGCGAGTCACGAGTGAGGCAGGACAGGAAGCGGGAGTCACGAGTCACAGGAAGTCAGAAGTCGGAAATGATGTCATGCTGGACAAGAATCAGAGTCCGAATAACATTTTCGGACTCGAGTCCGAATAGTCGTTTTAGTTTTGCTGGGTGACTAAGTGCAAAAAAGAAATCTAGGTAACTACCAAGGTTGAGCGGTCTTGTTTTCTCGCAAGTGTACCTTTTGAAGGTTCAAAGTATAGTCCGGGAACGTACCGTTGCCCCAACCACAACAGAAGTTATGACTTCCGTAACGAGCGACCACCCATCAAACACAAAGAAGAGGCCTCTAGACCTTTTCTAACCCTAACCCTACCCCTACCCCTACCCCTAACCCTAACCCTACCCTTACCCCTACCCCTACCCCTACCCAAGCCCTCAATTCTGCTCTGTCTCATAGTGTTCGCTCGTTACGGAAGTCCTCCCTATAATTTAAATCTATCTGAATATTCAGACATTTAAAAATCTTTAGATCTAGCTCTAGAAATTGAATTCGATGCAAAAAATGCTTCCCCAGTCCTCGCCAAATGGCAGAATGAAAAGATGATGCCTAAATCTCGCAAATAACCCAAAAATCTCGAGATCGGAAACCGCTAGGTTAGGAGAAATAGAGTTCAACTTTATTTTCCTGAACGTTCTGAGAAATAGTCACTTCATTCTTTTTTGCCCCTTTTTTGGGGAGATTTTGCTAAGATCTAAATCTAGAGATGATCTGATGTCTATTCGAGAATCTAAATCTAGATTTAGATCTAATCTAAATCTTGATCTAGATCTAGACTAGACTAGATATGAGATCACAATCTAAGCACTATAGATTGTAGACTATAGTGTCAATGTTAATATGGGTCAATACCCACGAAACAAGCTCATGATATGAACAGCAAGCAGTACCTCAATATAAAGCATTTCATTTCTTGTCGAACTGACAACAATTAAATGTCAGCTGCTAAATTTTGTTGGGAGATGTCAACACTGTGTAAGATTTTCCTGATCATACTCTCCTGATCCTGTCTCATTTAAATAGACTTAAAACTTTCTTGATTCAATCTAGATTTTATAGGCCTAAAATGAATTTTGACTCTCAATATGGGCCTACACGTGTATAACAAAACAGTTTTTGAAACATTGATGATTGATGTTTTTAATTGAACCAAAAGTACTATCATCTACTCGTACTAAAGTAACAATTGCTGTAAAAAAAGGGGAGGAGTTCCGCAGAGGGCTGGCAGGCACTTACCGTGACTAGGTCCACTGAGCATTCTATATACAAGAGAGTTAGGTAGGGTTGGGGTGAGGGGTTAGGGTAACAGGTTTTTTAAGGAAGGGTCTACCCTGCTCAAAATATCCCCTCTAAGCCCTCTTTGTTATATTCTGGTCGGCCTGCCCTCTGCGGAACTCCTTCTCCTCCGAAAAAAGTAATATCTCATTCTTCTTGTGTGTGCTGGATAGTTCTTCAACCTCATTGTTGTTATGTGTACATTTTTTTTTTTTTTTGGAGGCTTTGCTAACATTGCAAAATTTTACTAAAATGAAGAAAGTGTGGCTATTTAGGGAAACACTCTGTCGTTCCAGACAGGTAGTTTGTGACCACATATATGATTTGTCACAGTTTTAGTGGCCATTTTTCACTGTTTCACAGCTATAAAAAATATGTTGAAATAGCCCCCCAAAAAAGTACATGCCCTGTATACAACATGGCAGTGAAAATGATTGTAAAAACTTACTAATTCAAAGAATGAACGCACTAGTTAGTCTAGTGGGTTTCTACCTTTAAAAAATTGTTTGTATAGTATTGTTTTCGTTTTTAAGCAAGAGTGAATTGACTTTTCTTTTCATTTTCTCCAGATTCAAGTTTCAGTATTATAATGGCCTCTGCAGTTATTTGTAAATTGTACTCAGAGTCGTTTGTGAGAAGGACTACAGTAGTAGCAAGCTTGGCTTGAGGCATGCAGCTGCCTTTTTAGAGGACTCGACTTCTCAACTGGTGGAGGATCGTTGGGGACTTGTGGCAGGCCCCAAACCTTGCCCACGGTAACAACGATGAGAAAAATGCTGCCTGGTGTGGGAGTGTTTGGCAATACTCCAGCCATGAGGTGAGCCAGACAATGCGGGTGGTTGCTGGGTGCTCTGGTGTGGTTTGCTTTTCTTCTTTCCTATCGAACATCTATCGTCCTGATCTCTCCTCCTTCTTTTTTATGTTTGTTACTCTCTTGTAACACCTCTAGTCTTCGGCACTTAAAAATATATATATGACCTTATTGTGTTGCAAGTGCTGTAAAACTCTTACTATTTACCTAAAGACAATGGAAGAGACCATGATCTTGTAGTTTCGCTCTCTTGAAATACTGCACTACTGTCATTAAAATTCTAAAAGTTTCATTTAAAGTGCAAGAGGATTGAAAGTAATAGATTATTATTATTATTATTATTATTATTGTTATTATTGTTTTTATTATTATTTATTATTATTATTATTATTATTATTATTATTATTGTTATTATTATTATTTTTTATTATTTAATTATTATTATTATCATTATCATTATTATTATTAATATTTTTATTATCATTATTATTATTATTATTATTATTATTATTATTATTATCATTATTATTACTATTATTATCATCATCATCATCATCATTCTTATCATTGTTATTGATATTATTAGGTAATGTTCTGTAACTATGTTTGCTCTGGTCAGATGCTACATTCCCATGCTCAAGTCGTGCGGCCTGGAGGTGGTGGCCCTGTGGGCGCGCACTACGGCCGAGGCACAGGAGATGTCGGAGGACCTGGACATCAGCACTTTCACCACAGACGTCGACAAGGTGGAAGGGGGGGGGGGGGGGGGGTGGAGAGGGAAGGGAGGGAGGGGAGTGGGAGACCTTGCTTTTTTATTCAAACTTAGACTAAATGTTAACTGGTTTTGTTTTAGTAGAGGTTTTACAGCCCTCGCAACTGCATAAAAGGTTATATATGAGTGCCAGAAGATTAGAGGTGTTTACAAGAGAGTAGCAAACATAAAAAAGAAGAAGCTCAGATTTAATAAGGACGATAGATGTTTGATAGGAAAGAAGAAGCTAACCACACTAAAGCGCCCGGCAACCACCCACATGTTGACATGGATTAGGATGGATTGTATGCTCATATTTGTGAGAGAGGGGTTGGGGGTGGGAGGGGCGGGGGGATTTCTGCTGCACAGGGACTAGAAAAAGTTAAGTTCCAGAGGTACTGAATATCTTGATAAATTTGGAAATTTGTGTTCCTGGAGTTTTCTGGTCAATCATTATGAAGTTGTTGCACTTTATATATATATAAAATCATCAGTCTTGATACAACGCGATGTATTAGAGGCAAAGTTGTTTGTAAATTTTGAGTCTCTTAAAACGTTTCCAAGCGTTTGTCAGAATATTTAATAATAGTTTGGTTTCTGTCTTGAGTTCAAAACATGAGCTCATGCTTTGACCTTTTTCTCTTACACCTGTGTTCACACTTGAGTAGGTGCTATAAAAAAAATGATCTGCATTACAATTATGATGATGATGTTAATAATGATGATGGTGATGAGGATTATAAGTAGATTAGTTTGATTATTATTATTATTTTATGATGATGATGATGATTATTATTATTATTATTACTATCAAAACATTATTATTATGACCAGAGAAACTTGTTTTGAAAACCTGAACAGATGGGTGATGGATAAACATCAGGATAATATGTAGGATTTTTTAGAGAAACGGGAAGTGGAGAAATGAATGGCGAGCCAAGGTCGCTGATGTCTGTTTCAATTCTGGTACTGTATTTATTTATGATGATGATGATAATGGTCAAGATTATAATAAGAGTTTCGCATTTATTTCTTAATTTTTCTTGCTCGTCAGGTTCTCCTGCACAAGGACGTTGACCTGGTGGTCATCAGCTGTTCTCCACACCTCCAGGCTCACATCGCCGCCAAGGCTTTGGGCATCGGGAAACACGTCCTGTGCAGTCCTCCATCTGGCCCGCGGAGCCACGACACGCTGCCGATGGTACACGCCTCGCGCTACTACCCGCGACTCATGTCGCTCATGTGTAACGGCCTACGCTTCCTGCCGTCCGTGGTAAAAATGAGGTCGCTGGTGAAAGACGGTTTCCTGGGGGAGCCTACGATTTGTGAGGTCAAAGTGCATTACGGGCAGCGATTGAGGACGACTTTTGATTGGATGTGCGACGAGATGATGGGTGGGGGCGCGCTGAACATGTACGGCGGGATGATCGTGGATCTGCTGAGTCATGTGACAGGGCAGCGAGCCACGCGGGTGCAAGGGATGCTCAAAACGTACACCAAGCAGACGGAGCACATTAAGGGTATACGGGAAATCACCAGCGACGATTTCTGCTCGTTTCAGATGGAGCTGGACGGAGGTGCTTGCGCGACGGTGACCTTGAACGGGCATGTGCCGGGTCAGTTTGTCCAAGAGGTCATCATCGTCGGTACGAAAGGGCGGCTCGTTCTCAAGGGGGCAGACCTCTACGGCCAAAAGCACGATCGCGTCAAAGAGGAGCTCCTCCACTTCGACCCGGTCAACTACAAGGACATTGACTCTCTGGGCATCAGCGAGAAGGTTCGCGGGGACATCCCCGTGGCCTACATGAAAGGCGTCATCCGCATGATGGAGTCGGTGCGCGATGCCTTCCAGCAGGTGGAGGAGAGGCAAGGATGGAGCGGGGGCCCTCTCGAGGCTGCCGCGACCTTTGAGGACTGCTTCTACGTGCAGACGGTGCTGGACACGGTGCGGGCCGCCAGCAAGTCGCGGCAGTCGATGAAGGTCACCATGACGGACAGCCAGCCGGAACCGAACCCCTTCCTGTCGACGGCCATGCGGCGCAGCACTTTCTCTCTACACTAGCTCATGTTTTGTGGAAGATTGTGTAGATATTTGATGGGCTCCACGGAAAAAACTGATGGGTCCAAAATTCTCGAATTGAGAAAAATTTAGGAAGTATTATTCATAGGATAGGGTAAATTAAGATAAGTCTTTATTGTCCAGATGCAGGCACATTGGTTTGGTGTTTCACCACACATATTATACATGCACGCACACTCACACACGCACACCCACACACACACACACACACACACACACACATATACACACACACGCACACACACACTATGCAGATGTAATTGGACAAAGGTTTTGTTAAGCCGTACAAGTGATTTGAGACAAGTTTTAGTTTTTTGACAAATTATTCTTCGTTTGCGGCCTGGATCCTGGAAGAGATGGGACAAGGGACACATGTCATGCCACGGAGCCTTTCACTGAACGTGTAGCCGCGCTGTCATGTCCATTTGTGATAGAGTTTGTAAAATAAATAAATAAAATTAGCAGTGATTAACTCAATACCTATAAAGATATGTTGTGCATGTGGAAACGGCCGTTTATATTAGCACGGGCCTGCCAATTACTTTATGACCGAAAATAAGAACTTTTCTAAGAATTCTCCTTAAAAATCGGAGTTTGGGGGACAGGGATCAGACTCTCAAGTTCTCCAGAAGATCCCCGGTAGATAAAGATAACAATAATAATTATAATAATAGATAGCATTTTGTATAGCGCAAATCCTGACTCAACAGCATTGTGCTTCGCAATCTATACTATTACCCCAGCAGACCTGAGAGCATTCTGAAAAAACCCAACTTTCTGGGAAGCATACATTACAAACCTAAAGTAGGAAATAAATGTGTTCATTACATAAAAAGGTGGAACTGTTTTGTCCATTAGCAGTGATAGATGCAGATACTGCAAATAAATCCGTGTATTTTGTTTTCGTTTATGATAAAAAGTTGGGTACGACTGATGGAAACGGAATTCAAGAAAAAAAATTAGCTTTCATGCAAATTGCATCGGGGTTCTTCAAAGTGAAAAAAAAATAAAAGAGAGGTGTCTGATTTTATTGAAGTACTTGGCAGGCCCCGTTGTTAGCACTCCTACGCACCGTCATGTCCTTGACGTCAGCAAACGAGATTTTTTGTGTGTTCAGAAGTGATCCAGATCGGATGCGATTCACACTTACCGGTACTCTCTCGGACTATTGTATTATTACACTAAACCACTCTTCCATCAGTTGCTGTCAGAGTTCGCCGATAATTTTGATGGGAACTCTTTGATGGGAACTCTTTGATGGGAAACTCTTTTCTGTAAATTGTATGTTTATTTTGACTTGCCTTGTGGCAGGGTTGTTTTTTTCCATGTGAGATTATCATGAAGCTCAAACTCTTCTGAATTACTTTGGGCTGTTGGTAGAGAGGAGGAAGAGACAATGATCTTCATTTTGATAAAAGTGGGTTATCGTGATGGAGGCAGGCACTCGTCAAAGTTTAGGCAGAGGAGAAATCAGTTAGTTTGTTTTACTGTTAGGTAATTTTTATCAATTTTTTTTTTTCACAGAAACTTGTGAAAAACTTTTTCCATCCATAAAAGGACCTATATATGTTGTTGTTGTTGTTAGCGATCCAGTAGCATCTGAGCGTTAACTCTTCTGCATGATGCCATTCAGTAATAGTTGCATGTTTGTTCTAATTGTTGTCTTGAAGAGTAGAGGCAGTTAGATGTGTGGGGTAGCTTGGGAAGAAAACATCCCCTTAAATCAGTTGGTTTTCTACAGAAGAACAGATGATGTTCCACTGTCTCTAGGGGGACCTATATATATGTGAGGGTGAATTTTACTGAAAAAAAATTGTTGGTAAAGGCAGAAATATATATATATGCTATTTTATAGACGGAGTTGGAGTATTCAACTTAAAAAGTCATCGGAATTTTGCAGCCATTTTTTCCATTAATTTCACCTGTAACAGCAGGTAACCCCTGCCTTCTGCAACCTCACATATCTTTACATTTATCTATAAGACAGATCAATATTTTGAACATTGAGTTGAAAAAAAAAAGAAACTAGCTTTAATTTGATAGCGACAACTCCGTATGCCGTAACATTGATGAGTGGCTGATTCCACTACACTTCCACACATATTGTGATTACTACATGATGTTTATGAGTGAATTCTCATTAGCTCTCGGTGTGGGAGCGACGTTTTGTAAACTTCATGAAACCACATAAATGTCTGTTCTCATTTCTCGGGCCATATAGGCCTGAAGGCTTTAAGTCAGCACCTTTTATCCGAGTTCCAAGTTTTGTAGGCTTTTAATTGTGTTAAGAAGAAAAATACGATCTTTTACACCCAAGGAGAGTGGCAGAGCTTATTTCTTTGCCATTAGGCTGTTCATGTCACCTTAGTTGTAGAAAACTGTGCTGGAAATAAGCACAAAAGCCTTGTCCAAATAAGTATTTTGCATGTTGACTTCCGTGAATTTTTCTGCTGTTTTTAACAAAATAATACCATGTCATGTCTGTTAGATCTTCGATACAATGGTTTTTTATTCCACGTCAGTAAGTTTGGGATCACTGGACTGTTTTAATGTAGATATATTTTCTCCACAATTTTGTCTCCACGAATCCTTCCATGCTGGGAACACTTTTAAGAGTTTAATTTGTTTGTTTTTTGGGGGTTTTTTCAGTCTTGTGTAAATGAACTTGATTAAAGGGAACTTTTGTAGACGAGATGTTAAATAGTACTCGGGCGAAAATTTTGACAATTTTTTAACTTGCGGTTTGTTTGTTGGTAGTATTGGTTTCTTGTGCTCAATAAATATGTGGTCAAAATTCAAACTCTACAGGTTGGAAAAAAAGCCAGAAGAAAAAGCATAAAGTAGGTACACAATCGTGAAAAGAATGGAACAGGTTTTTCTCTCTCTCTCTCTCTCTCTCTCCTGTAAAATTTTGCTTTCTTTTCAACTGCTTGCTCGCGTTATTCTGTTCTGTGTTGCTTCAGTAAGACCACTGTTGTGTGTTTGAAAGTCATAGAAAACATTATGTTATGTGTGTAACTTTCTACTATTTCCGTTAGCTCAGTTGGTACCGTCCTGGACTAGGGAACGGATGGCCTGGTTCAAACCAAGGCTTGCCAACTGTCACAAATTACCCGGAACTGTTCCCAGATTCGGCAATCAGGAATTGAGAGACTTATCATCACGTATACACTTCCCAAGAACCAGTCCCACTCGGTGAAATTATGTTTGTTATTGCGTAATCTGATGTTATAATATTGCGTGTCCCTAATTAGGTTTTGAAAAAAGTTTGCTAACCTGAAACCCTGGACTGAGTGTATTTGAATTTAAGTCGTTTTGTAGAGTTTTTAAGGCTCTCAACCCATTTGACTCAACGCATCTGAGATGCATGTTAAATTCAGAGGTACTGCGTCCTGATTTTTTAACCTAATTGTGTTGGTTGAGGTAAAAAACCCAAAGACATTTTACTTGATAGTAGTGGTCTTTGTTTGTTTTTATACATGGATGCCTTTTGTTACGTCGTAATCCAAAATCTGTTGCTGAAAGACGCACGGCCATACCCACTGAGCCTGCGCATTCTATTTTATCAGTGGTGATTTTTTAAGAAAATTGGTCACTTTTAAGGACAAGCGGGCTAACCCAGACTTCGGGGGTTTCCAGAAATCTTGACCTAAACCAAAGCCGGCATTACCTAACCTGTAGGAGACATTTGGTTTCATTGGTGTGTATATTTGTTTGGTTATAGAGAAAACTCTCCTTGTCTTTTAAAGAAACTGACCAAGGGGCAGAAACTTTACCTTCAATTTTCTTAAAACAGCATTTTTCGGGATAGCACCCTTGTGCTTAAAAGCGACCAACTGTTGTTTGAGAAACTTATCTTTTTGGAAACATTTTTAAAATGAAAATAGAAAAAAATGTTTTAAAAAACCAAAAAAAACTGCCAGCATGAGAGGAGTACAGATACGTTAAAATGTTGCACGTGTGTAGTTACTTCTCAAGTCGTTCAAATCCGTATGGCGGAGCTGATTGAAGAACTCAATAGATGACTGGATACATAGTGCAGCTGGATATCTGCACTGTTGATAGGGGCGTTAAACCTGTACCACCATTTCTGATATCTGCATATTTTCATACTGTCCTATAATTATGTTTACAAGTTGTTTTTCTGTCCTGTCACATATATTTTTGAAGCTTTCTCCTTTCTTCGCATGGGAAGCTTAGATCTCCAATGCTGTCTGTCTTTGTGGACTGATTGTTCAATGTTCTTATTTATTTTTTTTAACCATGGTTGTGGAATTCAGTAGGTGAACATAGCAAAACTACCCCCCCCCCCCCTTACACACACACACTTACTCACACACACTCACACACACACACACACACACACACGCGCACAAACACACGTCTCTATCTCTGTCACTCTCTTTCTCACACACGTCTCTATCTCTGTCACTCTCTTTCTCTTTTTCTCTCTGTCTCTCTGTCGGTCTGTCTTTCTCTCTCTTTTTCTTTCTGAACTCTCTATTTCTCTTCTGTCTCTCCCTCTCTCTCGCTGTCTCTCTCTCTTTCTCTCTTGCTCTCTCTCTCTGTCCATCCCCCTCTCCTCTCCCCCTCATATCCCTCCCTCCCTCCATCCCTCCCTCACACTTTCTTCCCCACTCCTCCTTCCCCCCTCCTCTTTCCTCACCCAATTGAGTCCTGACACCCTGACACTGGCTGTATCTGATCACTGTTGCTATGGCTACTACGAAGCTTTTGTGTTGCTATGGCTACCATGAAGCACTTGTGTTGCTATGGCTACCACGAAGCACTTGTGCTGCTATGGCTACCACGAAGCACTTGTGTTGCTATGGCTACCATGAAGCACTTGTGTTGCTATGGCTTCCACGAAGCTCTTGTGCTGCTATGGCTACCATGAAGCACTTGTGTTGCTATGGCTACCATGAAGCACTTGTGTTGCTATGGCTACCACAAAGCACATGTGCTGCTATGGCTGTATAGCTTTGTTTGTTCCTTCTCCCCTTCGGCCCTCACGTTGTTGTGCTCAGCTGTTGCTTGTTGTGATGTGAACCATTGTAACTGGACATATTTTCCTTAACAAGAATCCATTTTATTATTAAATTGTTATATCGCGGGCAGTATTGCATACAGACGTAAGCCATTTTTGGCGGCCTTTGAGGTACGTCTGGATGCAATACTGTGAG